AGAAAAAAGAAAAACAAAATCTTTAAAAAAAAAAGAGTACTTTCAACAGAGAACTCATATCAAGTGAGTCTTCAGACTTTCGTTATGTTTTATTGTCTGTTCATTTCTGTTCTAATGTACAAATATAAATCATAATTTTAATTACATATAACGCTGGAACCCCAGTGACTTTCTCTTTGTCAAATATCTTATTCTGTTGCATAGATACTGTTGATCACCTCTCCTTCCTGAAATTCTCTCTTCTCTTGATTTCTCTGAGTCTATTTCTCTTTCTCCTCCTTCAATTATGCCTATGATCAGTCTCCTTTGCTGGATCTCTGTTAAGTGGTGTGTTTCTGCAGCATTTTCTCATCATCTTGATTTTCTTGCCATTCTTATTGTGGCACCCTTATTTCTTCCATGGCTTCAGCTGCCCTTTGCCTCTCCAACACTGAATCTCCCAGCATTAGATGGTCCTATATCACATACACAAACAAATGCCTCACTGGTGCCTCAAACACAGCATCGCAAAACCTGAGCTCATTATGTTCTCCCTCCAGTTGCTGTAATTTCTCCTGTATTTCCTATTTCACTTAATGGAACCTTATTTCACTTGGTCACCCAAGCATAAGCCTAAAGTAGTTCTAGGCTCTTCTTCCTCTCTAATTTCCATATTCATTCAAATCACAACTTTTGCCAATTGAATTTCCTAAATGGTTCTCAAAACTATCATCTCCTCTCTATTTCCTCAGCAATTGTTTTGCTTTAGAGTTGAACCATCTCTTACCCAGACCATTACAATAACTTTACCACCGTTCTCTCTCCAAAGGCACCCTCCTCAAAGCCATCAACCACCACGACCACCGACAATCCACCCACAGCCCAGCACATTCCCTCAGTCTGAGCCCAGTCGACCTTCTGACCCTCCACTTCCATCTCCCTCCGTCCTCCACCTAGCTCTCACCTTAGCACCATCAGTGCTGATAACACTGCAGGTGCAACCCAATGTGTCAGACTTTCCCGCCTTCGCTTCTGTGCTTCCATGCCTTTTCTTCCTGGTAAAGTCTTGGTCAAATTTCAATCCCTTCCTTGACGTCTCCTTTTCTCTACTACCAGACATAATTCTGAACTCCTTTGGACTAATTCTGCCCATACATCTTTAATGCCATTTATTGCTTTGTGTTGCCATAATTTCTCTCACTCTCCAACCTAGTGCCTAGCTTGGATCTGGCAGTGAATTTTCAAATCTGTGGATTCAGTCCAATCAAGGTTTTCAGTATAAGAAGTTTCAGGTTTAAGCCCCAGCTCCACGAGGATGGGAGTCCTCATTTTACTCCTGATTTATATAATAACGGAGCCCTGCAACCTACCACAATGCCTTTTAGTGAGAGCGGTTCATCATGCTGATTCAGTATAGAACTCCTCACACCTTCTCTTGTGCCCTCCAATACATTCTACAAATTAGAGATAAGTGTAGTTTCCAAAATCCCAAGTCTGAGCATGCCACTCTCCTTCCTGAGATTCTTCAATCTCTTGACTGACTCTTGGGTTGAAATCCCAAATAGTCAACATTTATTTGTTAGGGTTCAGCATGATCTAGGGCTTGTCTACCATTTTATCTTGTCCATACTTCCCTTGGGCACCAGGCTCAGGCACCTTGGTCTCCCCTCACTTATACGAATGTGCCTACTCCTGCCCATCCATGTCCTTCATATACACTGTTCCTTGCCTAGAATGGTCCCTTTCTTTCTCTTTACCTGGAGAACTATGATACAGTCTTTAAATGTCAACTCCAATGTCACTTGGTCAGGAAGTACTTCCCTGATGCTTTTGTACTGAGTAAGCTTCCCTGACATCTGGTCTTCAGGTCCCTACAAACACGTGCAGGTTGTGTACCTGCAATAGTCACAGGATGCCTTCATGCCAAAGACATGAAGGGGACTTGAATATTTATTATGGCAGTTTGTTGACAGATATTAGTGAAGTGTCTTGAAGAAGGGGAGCCATTTTTTATGTTGCATAAGCTTGCTAAATTGGCTTCCTGCTACTCTGTTTTATTAAACACTTTTCCTACATAACACTTACCAGAGTTAACTGTATTCATTATTAACTATTCATAAGTTTTTAAAAAAATTTAGATTCTGTCACTCACACCAGATTATACATCCCCTTTGGGAAGGGATTGCCTTTACCTTGATTATTGTTGCAATCTCAAGTCTTGTCTTCTCATTTGCCACTTGGGGACATTCAGCAATATCTGATGAGTGAGGTGATCTGGAGCTGGCTGCATTCTGGTTTTCTTGGGGCTTCACTGGCTGCACCTGGGGTCTTAAGCGAACGTAACCGCTCTCTTCGCCTATGCTATATATTCGTTGCAGATTTATGTCTGTCATTAGAGACTCGAGAAAATGAGTTGATCACAGTTTGCTGGTGGGTTTTCTGGTCTATATGACACAAATGCCAAAGCACTCACCACCCAAGATGCTTTGTAGCATTAACCAATAAAAATCCTTGGAAACACATTTTCACTTTAAAAGTGCCTTACTTGTAGTTATAAGCATAGTGTCTGCATTGAGCAGAATGGCAGGTAAAGATGAAGGGCTAGTAAGTTTAACAACATGTGCTTTATATCAGTGTGTAATAGTACAGCACTTTAGTAGTTTATTTTTCCTTCCAATTTTATAGGCTTTTCTTCAATATTATGATAAAATCTCATACCCCTGACAAGCTGGCTCCACATAAACAGCTTCTCTGGCTGGTTTCAGAGACACAGGCATGTTCCCCTGGCAACCAGAGCCACCTGAAGTCTCCTTAATGCTCTACCCATTCTGGCTTCACTTTATTTTGGTCATTAATTTGGTAAAAAAGAAAAAAAAATAGGAATACTCAGATAAAACAAAACTACTTTTATCATAATTAGTAATTTCTTGCCTTCAAAAGATCGTCTCAATCAGTAGAGATTTCTTACCAATGATCAGAATAATCATCTTATAGTTGACACATCCCCGGCTGAGTTCTGCATTCTGCTTTTGTTACAGAAGTATTTTCCCAGCAAACCTTTCACATACACTGTAGATATGTGAGAAAGAGAGAGCAAGAGTTTGAATTATTGGAATTGTACCAACTTGGAAACTTCTTTAAAATTTTTACCTTTTTAAATCTTTACCTCAATCTTTTTCTTTCTTCTTTTTTGTCCTTGCTAAATACCCCCTCCTATATTTGTTTTGTCTTCTGGGGAAGAGCAGCTCTACATTTGTTCCCTTACAGGAAATTGTTCTGTTCAATTAGCTTATGGCAAGAACCAGAAACACCTACGTTTGAACCCAACTCTAACATCACCAGCTGTATGCTAAATAAAAAGGTAACCAATGTGGTAGATGAGTGCAAAAGGAGGCTAAATACCGTAAACACATTTCAAAAGTGTGTAGCACAGGCGCAGTTGTATCTTCAGTGCATGAACTCATAGATAAGCGAGTTCATTCATCTATCTACCTTTAGCTAGGTAATAGAAAGATAGATAGATGAATAATTCTGCACTTCCCAGGTATTTTCCTTTAACATACTGTTTTTACTTTATTTCTGACTTGGATACTGCTCAGTTTTTGCGAATTTCAAACAAAACACCTTGCTGGGCTGGTTGGGTGGTAGCCCGGGATCCCACCTGCAGGAAGTGAGCCCCAGACATCGAGAGAAGATTCCTCTGCCATTATCCTAACAGAGAGGGGCTCTCATACTCATGGAGGGTCCAGCAGGTCTGATGTTTTGTAAAAGCAGATGTCATCTTCTAATGAAAGTCTGCAATCAGACTTAAAAGAAATATCAGACTTGATAATACTTATTTTCAAAACTCCTAAAGTGCCCAGAGTTGGAGGGATAATGTTGGGCAAAGGGAGCTTCCCTGTCGTTCTTCATATCACTGCTGAAGAGACTTGTCCATTTCCAGGCTCTGGTAAGACTCTTTGGGGGTCACAGTATCTTGGAAGAGGTAGGGGCCTTCTTTTGCTGTCAGTGGATGGATGGAATCAGCTGGTATGGTACTGAGGGGTAGGCATGGATGCGAGCTGTGGAAAGTAGTGGAGGAGCCATATTTGTCTCAAAAAGTCAGTCAGTCCTTAGATAAGGAATCCACTCTGGAAATTCAGGTGGTTGGACTCCTGGCATCTGTCCTCCAATACTCAGTTGGGAAAGGGGATCCCCTGCCCCCACCTCGATTGTCCCGCCCCCTCGCCACTCTCCTTCAGGATCTTCGCCTCAGTGGCAGAGTCCTGGCTCTCCTCCTCCAACCCACGTGTGCTTTCCTTCCTTTTCTTCACTGCCCGTGGGTGGATCCCTTTGCCTGAGGTCCTCTTTCACCCAACAGAATCTGACAGAATCCTTGGACAGGCAGAGCTATGCAAAGAGATGATGATTAAATTTCTCTGTGGGGGTTCAGGTTCTCAGAGGTATCATAGAGAAGGCGCTATGATGAGCGAGAAGTGAAGAGAACATGATGGCTGTAGGGATTATTCTAAGAGAAAGAAGAGATCCTCACCTACTTGGACCAACACTGAGACCTGAGTGTAAGGAGAGAGTTTTTGTTTTTCCACAGGTGATACTATGCAGGACACGTAATACCTGTAAGGTGCACTCTGCGTGTCGCTCCAGTTAGAAGGGACTGAAAGAAAAAGAATGAGCAGAAATATTCTATATATGTATATTAAATCATTAGCATTTTATGACCTGGTCTTATTCTCGTTGGATCATTTTGCTAATTTATTTAGATAGGTCATTCAAATGAACAAAACTACGATTTTTCTCCTCACTTGAAAGATGTGTCTTGAGAATTATGCCTACAAGTTCTAGACATGTTATGCATAAATAATCCAGATGCACAGCACTGAATAGGCGCACCCTTTCTTATTACTAAGTCTAAAAGGCACAGGCTCCCTGTCTTCGGCCGCTTGGGAGGCTGCCCGGCCGTCAGAGGGAGGCTGTGCACCGCCTGGGAAGTTCCCGGCGCCGGGCGGCCCCCGCCTCCGCGGGAGGGCCCTTGGAGGGCGGAGGGCGGGGCGCGGCGCGGGGCGGAGCGGGCCGACGGGGCTCTCCGCCCGCCCGAGGCTCTCTGGATCTGGCCGCGTCCCGTCCGGCCAGGCTGAATCGCGGCCAGAAGTGGGAGCAGCGCGCTGAGCGCTGGGGACGGCGCTTGGCTGAAAAGGCGCCCTCGGCCAGAGCGCCGGCCCAGGTGTGAGAGCCGGCGGCGCGGGGCTGCGGGAACGCGGCCACCCCGGCGGAGCGGCACCCGGGAACGCGGTGTTCAGCACCCGCCAGGGCGCTCCTTGGACTACTCCGCGCGTCTCCGGGAGCCAGAGGTGAGCTTTGGGCTTTCGAGGAGCAGTCTTTGGGAGCGAGGGCTCTGTACTCGAGGAGTCTCTTGTCCCTGTGTGGCTCAGAGCGGCAGTCTGGGGACAGTTCCACCAGGGGACCATGCCTAGGAAAGGGAGAGCGGCGTCTCAGGAGCCTGGGAAAAGGAGCAAGCGCTCTCCGCCCCACGCGGCACCCAGCGGTGCGTCTGCTGGCCAGGGTGGCAGCGAGCGGTCCGTCTTCCCTGTCCCGCCCCCGGGTACCTATGGCCAGGGTGGGCATTAGCGAGGCCTGGGATCCCAGCGCCGCAGGCCTACGCACACTGGCCTGGGCGTGGGCAAAGTTTGCCTCTCGGGTCCAGCCAGTTCCTTCGCTCCCGCAGCCCTGCAGGTGCCGCCTCTCCTCGCCCTCTAGCTGCAGCCGCCGGACCATGGAGTCGCCGGTTCAGATCTTCCGCGGGGAGCCGGGCCCCACCTGCGCCCCGAGCACCTGCCTGCTCCCCAACGACAGCGGCTGGTTCCCGGGCTGGGCCGAGCCGGACGGCAACAGCAGCGCGGGCTCCGAGGACGCGCCTCTGGAGCCCGCGCACATCTCCCCGGCCATCCCGGTCATCATCACGGCGGTCTACTCCGTGGTGTTCGTCGTGGGCTTAGTGGGCAACTCTCTGGTCATGTTCGTGATCATCCGGTGAGCGCGGGGTCCGGGCGCCGCAGTGGCCGGAGCCGGGAGGGAGGGTCGAGCCCGGCCACCAGGATGGACGGTGGGGCGGGGGGGGGGGGGGGGGGGGGGGGGGGGGGACTCTATTCCGTCGTACAGGGCTCCAGAGCTTCTGAGAGGGTGGTATCTTAGAAGAAGTGAAGGATTTCCTGGGAGAGTTTTTGGTGCGGGACTGAGAGATTCACACAGGGGGCATTGCGAGCGGCCAGAGGCCACTGAAAACTGCGTGGACCGGGAAAGTGCTAGGGTGTGGAACAGGGTCAGTATCTCCTGGTAAGGAAACTGTCCTTCTGCCTGGCCCTTTGCCTGGTTGCCTGCGCCAGTTTGAGCACTTTGTTTTGCCCTTTGCAAATCTTTCTTAAGATAAAATTTAGGCCCAACGAAAGCACTGAAGATAATTCAGAATTTTCTGTGACTCATAAGATCACTGTTATGGTTTATGAAGCAAAAGCTATTATACTGTTTAGGATTGTTGGTATCTAGACATGAGCCTTTTTAGTACTGAAATTCCATTTATTTGTTTAGAATATCAGTGACTTTTGTAAATAAGTCCTCCAATATTTATCCTCTAAAGTATGGGTTATGGAGATTTTCAAAATTGCTTTGCTTTTTACTTTCCACCGTGAGAAACTGCAGGTTTTATTTTATTGTTCTTTTGTGGAATTACATTGAAGTCAACTTCCAATAATAAATATCCAAATATCCACATACACGCTAATTTTCTAGTAAGTGAAGTGATTCTTATTTTGGCCTCTTTCCACAAAGAAAACAAGAAAAGAAAAAAAATCCCAAGGCTTTTTCTGGATGCCCTTTGAGATATATGTGTTTCACCTTCTGGGAGACTTGATGCTTTGGAAATAGACCTCTGAGAGTGAATAAAAAGCTTACCTTCCTTTAAGAAGTCCCTGTGAAATAAAGGATGCAGTCATTCTGTTTAGGAGCATTGAAAGGATGAAGAACTAATTTCTCTCTCTTTTTTAAATCCTGACTTTAGTTTTGAAACAGACTCTTTATTTATGATGAACTTAGAGAACAATATCTACAGTAGCATGACTCTTTCTCTTGGGAAATCATCATCATAAAAATGCCCATTTATTCCTTTTTGTTTGTCTTGGGAATGTCAGGTCTTTCGTCTTTATCTGTGCTTGGAACTGAAAACAATCATTTAAACCTCCGAATACATATTATAAAGCTTATTTCACCTCCCATTCGTGTTTGTAGCTTGATACCCTTGGTTTCCATAATTGCTTATTGCATTTTACAGGAATTCTATCAGTGATGAGTAAAGGCTACAGAAGAGGGGAATGTTTTAAAGGCAAATTTTTTCAAGTCATTAGTAATTTCAGGGCTGCTCTCCATTAGAGAGAAGATTATCGTAACCAAAGGAAAAGAAAAGACAGCTGTGGTCTAAATTATAATTAAGGTTTTTAGGAGATCTTTGGTACATAGGCCATTTTGTAATGAAACATTGTTACACAAAAGGAGGACGTCAAGAAAAAAAAACTCTGTTCCTACTCATATCAAATTTAAATGCTTGAGTAAAACAGATACATCTTACTGTCATTTGAATGAACACCTGAAGTTTTGGGTTTGAGAAGAGCTTCTTATAAATTTTTATACAGCACTACAGACAAGGATTTAAAAGAATGAAGAATCCTAAAATATGTGCAAAGACAACTCCATGGGGAACATTAGATGTGTCAGAAGGAAACAAGAATCATTGTAAGGGCTGGCCCCATGGCCTGGCAGTTAAGTTCGCATGCTTCACGTCTGGCCCAGGTTCACTGGTTTGGATCCGGGGTGCAGACCTACACACCGCTCATCAAGCCATGCTCTGGTGGCATCTCACATACAAGAACTAGAATGGCTTACAACTAGGATATAAAATCATGTGCTGGGGCTTTGGGGAGGAAAAAAACCAGGAAGATTGGCAACAGATGTTAGTGCTCAGGGCCAGTCTTCCTCACCGAAAAAAAAAAAGAAAAGAAAAAAATGGAATCGTAAATTAACTAGGACTTTTAGTGATAAATTTAAAGAAATGTAAATTAAATATAAATATATGTGACAATTTAAATATAAATGTATATATCATAATTGTCTAGGACTAAAGATATCCAGGACTAAAATTTGTTAGCAGGGGATGAATTCAGCTCAAAAAACCAAAAGAAGTTAGTTCACATTGCAGCAGCATCCATCCTCCCACCCTCTTCTCAACTACTTGGAGATTAACTTTGATAATAAATGAAAAGTGAAGAATTATACTGTCATCTTGAAATGCTAACCTACTAAAACAATAGTTCACTTAAAACTATCGCTAAAAGGATTAAGGAGTGTTTAGTGTTTGTTCAGACTTATAGATGGTCAAAGAATTGAGAAATAAAACCTCAGAAGAGAGGTGGATAGCTTTGGGTTTATTTCACTCAGGAGAAGAAAGGACTGAAGATTCGAGAGAGGGTGGCATCAAGAGGGCTATGGTATGCTCACTGGAACTGAGAGCAGACCCAGAGTGTGGAATTCAAATGCAGCTATCATAATTGATGTTGAGGGCTGAGCAACATTGCTTAAAAAATGAGGGTCACTTTTGAGAAGAATCCTATTTTTAAAATATTGTACATCAAAAGGATCCTGGTGTACGTGGTTCAGTCATTTAGGACATCATTCTGGAGATGGAATTTAGATGTTTGGATGGTGGGGCAGGTGTGGGTATAGGATGGCCAGCTCAGACCTGGGGAGAAAGTGAGAATTGTGGGAAAAGCTTTGACTCTTTAAACCTGCCTTACAAGTAGCTTTTCCTATCTTGGGCACCTGGAATGCTGCCCATATCTTCTGAAGATACTTAAAGTTTCAAGGGTTTTCATCATTTAACATATACTAACTGCCATAATTCCTGAATATTAGGGCCCATTAACCTTTCACTGTGAAAACCTTAAAATTCAAGCACTCTAATCTTGCCTTTCTCCAGGCTTTGGGGTTTGTGGTCCTTGGGTGGGAAATTCTTACCTCAGCCCCTTGATTCATGTCCCTGGGTCTTAACACCATGGATGTGCCCTTGGGTGTGACACTCAGGGTCCTAACCTCCTGTTCTCTTCACCTCCTCCTGCGCAGGTCGCCTGCAATGAATGCTATGATGCCCACACACGCCCACACCCTAGAGGTTTCCAGACAGTCCTACCTCTGACATCTTAAACACACTTTCTGCCATTCTTGTTACAAATTCCCACACATACGGCTGTCTCTCCTCCTAGCAAAAATGATTAAAATTTAATGAACACTTAATATGTGCCAGGCCAGTAAAACTGCCTACTTCCTGTGAATTATTTTATTTAATCTTCACGACCATAGGTATATTAACATACCCATTTAACAGATGATGGAACTAAGGCAAAGAAAGAGTAAACAAATTGACTAAGGTGATACCTTGTTAACTTGTGGGGCCAGGATGGTCCCAGCAGCCTGACCCCAGGTCCTGTGCTTTGATCCACTCTGCTATTCATTTTCCACTATATCACTTCCGCAGACATTTGGATACCTTCTTACCTGGCGGTCCTTCATTTTCTCCCAGACTCTCTCTTCTTTTCTTACCTAGCCTAGACTCCAGGAACCATCACTTCAGCCTCTGTTGACGATACACTCAACTGTCTTGCCTTCTTGTCTTTCTGCCACTGTCTTCCACCAAAGCTTAACCCTGGATCAAGCCAGTAACCTATCTTCCTTGTTCCTATACCCAGCTAATTGAATGCTGCTGAATGAAATCAATTTTATCTTTGTCAAGGCAAAGTCACTGCCTTCAAGTGTATCTGACACCAATTCTACCTAGTTTTTCTGTGTCTCTCTCCTGTTTCCCAGAAAGAGCCAATTTCTTTTCCCATTTCCCATTAAAAAAAAAAAAAACAAACCTTAATGTAATCAGTACTAATTCCGAAGCCCTCTACCTGACCATATTCGCCTCATGGTCAGCAATCGTCTTACCCTGTAGTTCACTGTGACACTAGCGTCCAGCTGCTGGGAATGCTCCTTCTCCTACATGCGTGCTTTGGCAGGCACCCTCCCCTTGTTCCATTCCATCTCAGTTGAAGACGTTCCTTCCTTCTATCCAGGGCAAATCCCTGCTTCTGTGTTTTGAATCTCATCGCCTCCTGCTTTCCTGACGTCTTTGCGGTATCTATCTCCTTTCTACCCTACCTGTAAGCTCTCCCTCTGCACTGCTTGTGTCCCTTAAGCACCTGGGCATACTCAAGTCTCTGTCGTCTTACAATCAACATCCACCAACCTTCCATTTTTCTGAGTTCCCTTAGCTAACGTCCCTTCCTTCTCCTGTCTGCCGTAGGTGAGCTTCTTGGAGGAATGGTCCCTCCTCTTAGTGTCCTTCTCTTCACCTGTTCCCTAGCCCAGTGCACTTCTGTTCCCTCCCTGACGCTGCTTTACCAAAGCTATAACACTCACATTTCAGATGCTCGTTTTAGGCTGGCTACTTGACTTCTGTGGAGATTTTGCATATTTGACCAATTTTTTGTCCCTCGCTTTCTCCAATAGCACTCTGTCCTTGACTTCCTTCCACTTCCTCTGGGTTTCTCTCCTGTCTCCTTCACTGATTCCTCTTCCTCTGATGTTTCTTAAATGATCATATCCCGAGCCTTCTTAGTTCTCTTCTGTTCTTTTTCTGTACTTTCCACATGAGTCAGGATTCAACCAGCGAAGCAGAGCCAGTAGGAGATGAACATGTTAAGAGATTTATTGCAAGGAATTGGCTTACATGGTTGTGGGCTGGCTAGGCAAGTCTGAAACCCATAGAGCAGGCCTCAGGAAAGACATGCTGCCATCCTAGGTGGAATTTATTTTTCTCAGGGAAGTCTCAGCTCTGCTCTTAAGGCTTTCAACTGATTGGATCAGCCCCACGCAGATTATCTAGGATAATCTCCCTTGTTTAATGTCAACTGATTATGGACTTTAACCACATATACAAAACACCT